TACTCTCTGGAGGCAAGGATTGTGAAACTCTGTTTCATATACTTTGGGCGTGTTGCAAAGAAGGACCAGTCCTTGGAGAAGGACATCATGCTTGGAAGGGGTAGAGAGCACAGGAGGAGAAAACCCTAGACGAGATGGATTGACAATGTGGGCCACTGGGGTAGAGTGTGTCAGAGGTGGTGAGGTGGGCTGAGGGTAGGGCAAGGTTTAGAGCCATTGTTGATAGCATCTCTATGATTCATAGTCATCTCGACGGCACATAACTACAATAGCATGTCAGTTCATCTGGTTAAGGTCTTTCCTTTTCTGATTCTCCAGCTTTCAAAGCATGATGTAACTTTTTTTTTTCAGGGACTCCTGACAGCATGCCCAAAGTCTCATAATCTTTGCCCCTAAGGAGCACTCTGGGTGCCCTTCTTCCAACATAGATTGATTTATTCTTTTGGCATTCCGTGGCAGTACATTCCGAACTCTGGCCAGTACCACAGTTCAGGGGCATCAGTAATTCTTTGGTCTTCCTTATGCTTTGTCCAGCTTTCACATATATATATGATGAGAACGTGGTTGAATCCAGTGCACATCTTTTAAAGTACATTCTTGTTCTTTAGTACTTTAAAGAGGACATTGACAATGGATTTACCCAGTAGATTACGTTTTTATTTATTGTCTACTGCTTACTTGGATGTTGATTGTGGATCCAAGAAATCAGAAACCCTTTACAACATCAGTTTTTTTCACCATCTCATAATATTGTTTTAATAATATCTACTTGTTAGTCACCTGTACTAGCCTTGGAAAATGGATATTGAGTTTATTTCTTTTTATTTTGGATCAATATCATATGAAAATATATTAAGTAATCCCTAATATGTGTTTCTCCTTCTAGTCTATATATTGGTAAATAAAATCTAACTCTTAAAATCATTGTTTTTTATGGAGTCATCCTATAGTCCTCTGTCCTTCCCATCCTTCTGTGCTTTTCTCTATACTCATGCTGTTCCTTGGAAAGGGATAACATGATTGGAAAGGTAGAGAGAAGGTCGGCGAGTGGGAGGAAGACCCCTCAGCGAGATAGATGGACACAGTGACTGCAGCAGTGGGCTCAGATATATGAGAGATAGTGAGCATGGCACAAGATAGGACATGATGCAGGTCTTCTCACTTGGACAGTGAATCATACTTGACTTCAGAGTACCTATCAGTAACAAGCCTCTCAACTACTCCCACTGACATTCCTCATAATTTCTTGCGTAAGTGGCTGCATTGGCTTTCCTGTTTATTATCCTTAATGATGTGCATGGAGTGAAGCTTTTGGAATGTTGATTTGCTTATATGGTCTGACTCAGAATGAGGATAAACTGCTGGAAACATCTATTAATAATTGGAATGTTCCAACTAAGAATCAAAGAAAATTTAAGTTGTCCCCCGAAAATGGAACACTTAAGTAGATAAGTCATGGGTATTAATGTCTGGAAATGACAAATTGAAGAGGAAATGGTATTATAGGCTTGAATTAATTGTGACAAAATATTTCATAATCTATTCTGAAGTATAGTACTGTCAGTAATAAGATATTTATATCTAAACAAGGAAGACCTCTTGTCAGATTTATGACTGTTACTCAGATTTACTCACCAGTAAGTAAAGTAAAAAAGTTGAAGATTATTATCAACTTTTGAAATTTGAATATGATCAGATATGCAGATACAATGCAACTAATTACTGTGAAATACAGAATTGGTGGTGTGTTTTAACAGTTCAAGAGGAAGACTGACGACGTAATGATGAACATAGTAGAGATGTATTTGATATCTTGAATTAATTTGCAAGATGGATGTATTTTCATAAGTGATATTATGAGCAACAATTAGTGCATTCAAAGATAGTGATTGATTGTATTTTGATTTTCAGACGTGAAAAAACGTGTTTGTTATTTGTACATTCTCATTAAATTTGTAATGCTTCTAACCCTGTATTTTTTTTTCTATAATTATATTTTATTAATTTTCATAAACATTTACAGAGATTTTGGGCTTCCACTCATTCATTGTTGCACTATTCTCTCTACCCTC